CAGGAATCTGCAGTACTTCTCATTGCTTGGACAAGGGGAATAAATAAAGCAGATTATGTGCAAGGCTTTCCCCAACCTTATAAATGATTTTAGAATGGAAAAGTAATCGGAACATTTATAAATCAAAGCAAATGAACTCTTTCTCCCTTGATTTCAGTGTAGGATATTGGGGAAATACCAGTTACAACTAAATACATGGGGAAATGTGATGACAAAGTGGGTACAAAGGTAGACCTTAGCTTAACAAGCCCAATCCAAAGATGTCTCATAGATATATAATTTTCTTCTTGCTTATCTCATCTGTAACATCCTAGTGTGTCTCTCCATCTCTATCACTGGCTGTGGGATCTGCTGCTGAGCAAAGTCTCTACTTGAAGGCAGCTGGAAATTGCTGTCATGTGAGTATGACCAAGGAAGTTCCGGGGTGTGAGGCATGTTCAGGTTCCAGTGAGGTGGTTTCAAAAACCTATCCAAAGTGAGAATGCAAGCTGCTGTTGCTGCATGTGCAGCCCAGCCATGTTACTTTGCTCAGAGGTGACAAAACTTGCAGAAAGATCTCCTATCACGCTATGCAACTTTTTGCAGAGTAGCACCATGGCTGCTCCAATCTGTGCTTTGCAGAATCAGGGTTTACAGGAGCACACAAAGGCAGTGAGTAATCTGAGGCCTGGACATGGGCATCATGCAGAGCATGCATGCCTGCTATTCACTCTGCCAGGACAGGGCAAGAGAGTGTCCTTGCCTAAGAGAGGGGTTTGTATTTGCTCAGCCTCTGAGCAGCCAGGAAGGTGGCATTGATGTATGCACTGGGAAACTTGGAGAAAGTCACTCGTAGACTTGTGTCACAGTAGTAAGAAAGGTATTGTACAACCTGACGGGCCTGCAATAGTAGCTGAAAGGATGAGAAACTGGGTTAGAAGACCCGGAAAGACACAGCTGAGGACCTAACTCCATCTGGATGTAGAGATCATGAAAGCTTTGAAGAGCTTTTCTTCAGAGGTAGGGAAAAGCATAATGTATTTTATTGTAAAAAATACTATGAAGTATGCCAAAACCAGTCTGGGTTATACTCCTCCCTCCCTCCCCTCCCAGAGGGGACCACTTTCCACAGGACTGGAAGAGGAGCCAGAACCTGCTCAGTGCGTGTGCAGAGGGTAATGTTGGTCTTCATTATTACTTGGACAGGGTTAACTAGGTGACCTTCTCAACCCAGCCACAAAGCTTATCTGACCAGAAACCCTTCCTCAGTGTGGCAAAATTGTGTAACCCAGTCAGACCAGGTACCCTAAATAAAGGTTTCTTACTGCTAAGAAAAAGAAATCATGCCTGATGAACCTAAGCATTGTATTTCACCTGTCACAGCCTGTCAAAACATATAACCTGTCAAGTTCTGAAACCTCTTCACTATGTATAAATTGATTACGGGGTTGAGCAGTTGCCAAGGGAATGTGAGTTGCTTGAAATCTCATGCTGTTAACCCAGAAACACTGACAGGGCTCGGTGTCAGGTCTTGAACCAGTTGACAGGCAATAATAAGCAGCAATCTAGTACCACTGACATCTCTCAAGGCTGATGATCTAATGAACTGCAGGGGTGTAGTTCAAGGATAAGGACATCTTCCTGAATATCACAAGCTGAAAATGAGCAGCACTGTAACACACACTCAAACAAAACCAAATCCCAGTGATATAGTGGGAACTGTTGGCTAAAGAAGCAAGTGTCATTAAAGTATCTTGGGGTCTGCAAACAACAGTCTTCCAAGTGAAAGCTTAGGTGTTACAAAGTTAAGCATAGGATTTATTTCCAAAAATTCATCCAAGGTGGTGTGCTTGTGGGCTTTTGAAGGTATTAGCCCCTGACTGTAAGGATCCCAATGGTTATCTGTGAGTGAGGAGAGATTTCAAGCGCATATTGTTTTCCCCGTAGCAAAACACCATCTCAGAAGAAAATGTCCAGAGGATGAAGGAGCAATTCATGTCTACCTATGATGTCACCACAGATGGACGCTTGCAAATCCAAGAGGTATCTCTTCCCAAACCCAGCCCAGGATTTATTTTAGGGAAGGAAGGAGAATTAGAACCTACAGCAGTTCTGGGAGATATGGGAGATAGAGCCTGGGTGGGGAGGAGGTGAGTGTTGGAGTATTACATTAGCCAGATCTCGTGGTATGGGGTTTATTTCCAAGGCAACAACATGCCCAGCTTGTATTTCCCATACTTGGTCAGCAGCCACCCAATTTTTTTCTTATCTTTACTTTCATGGTTTGGGTTGGATTGGGGGTTTTTTTATGGTTTCTTTTTTCCAGCTTGCAAATATGATCTTGTCGGATGATGAGAACTTCCTGCTGCTTTTCCGACGGGAAACTCCCTTGGACAACAGTGTGGAATTCATGCGGGTTTGTATCTCTGTGTTGTTTCTTCCCTTTGTACACTGACAGCTTCTTGTGTATGTGCACTTCCACTCTCTATAGAACATAGCATGGGAAATACAGGGGTATTGTGGAAATGAAACACATTCTGACCTATTCAGGTAGAGAAGGTTGTAGCATTTTGCCCTGAGGCGTTAACCTGGCAGGGCATGGGGTGGAAAGCTCCAGAAGTAAGGCCCACCAAAATACACAAGCGCAAAAGTTTTTCTTAACTGTGCCAAATCTGCTCCCTGACTCTCTTCCCCAAAGTCTCCTAGCACAGAATTTCAATTTTTCAAATACTGCTTGCAGTTACTTTTATCTTGCATCCAACTTTGGGGCTTATGCCAGTCAATGGCCAGTTGTGTACGGCCTTGACTTACTCAGGGCAATAATCCCTCTGAGAAGCTCCATGTATAAATTAGGCAAGAAACACAAAGCAGTTTCTTGGTCTTTTCTTCCTTTTATAGACAGTGTGTTTGCATGAAGTATGTGATTGCAGCATGACACATGTACAGCATCCAGATGTGAATTAAAACTATTGTGGAAAGTTTATTTGATTTTGTCTACAATTAATTAAATACTGGATAATGCAACAGCTTGGTCATTATGAGAGCCCTGATCTGAATCTTTACAATCTATCACCCAAGCAGATGATTAACTGCAATATTTATGTGGTCATATCAATCTCTGTTCATTCAGATCTGGCGCAGTTACGATGCTGATAGCAGTGGATTTATTTCAGCTGGCGAGCTCAAAGTAAGTTATTCTAACAAGTCAGTTTGGGCTTGATCTACAGCTCATTGATGTCAATGGGAGCTTTTCCATTGGCTTTACCAATTTGCTCTTTTTTTCTGCAGCTGCCAAATGGCATTCCTAGGTTGTTCACAGCAAGTTTAAGGACTGAGGACCCTGCGCCCTTGTGGCATGGCTGCAGGGAGGGAGCATGCACTGTTGTTGCTCTTTCTATCCTGGTTCCCCCTTGCCCTGTCCCATGACCACACTTGTCTTGGTGCACCTTGAGCATCCAAGGAGCCCTCTGTCCGAGCATGCCTCACCTTGGCTTTGCAGATGTTCCTCTCCCAGCTAAGACCCTGTGTTTTATTACTGGGATTTCTTCATAACCTCTTCCCAAGCTTGCAGATTTTCTGAACATTATTCAATTTTAAAGCTCAGACTATTGAGGTAGAAACTTGTTCAGAAACTGCAGCTCAAATGCTTTGAGCCAGCCGGGCGCAGAAATCCGTCCCAGGCTGCAGACCCTCCCCTGACCTCTCAGCGTGTGGCTTCAGCCAGAGCCCCACCAGAGACACAAGTGGATGCTTAAGTGTTTTGCTGAATGGTGACTATTTTGATTTGAGATCAGTTAACAAATACTGCAACTATGGAATAATTCCAAATACTGGAATTATGTTATCATCTGCTTATTTTGTGTGTGAGTTGTGACTTATTCCAGCATGACTGCTCTGGGAAAATTTGGTTATTTTCTAATTTATTCAAAAAAGTATCTTTCAACTGAAAAAATGTGAACTTTATGTGAAATTAAGACACTAGTACTGATCAGGAATGTGAAATTTGATTTGTGTAACCCTGCTGAATTTGGATTGAATTTCTTACTGCTGTTTCTTGAATTTACTCTAAAGAGTAAAATGTCACTCTCTCCTTACTACAGGATTTCCTGCGAGATCTCTTTTTGCAGCATAACAAGATGGTGGATGAAGTAAAGCTGGAAGAATACACTGACACCATGGTAAGAAAATATAGTGATAGTATTGTTTAGATTATAGTACTGCCTAAAAATCTCCTTCAGAGACAATGTCTATAGGGCCATAATTGCCCTCTTAAAAAGTGTATCTGCTCCAAGAGATCACTATGGAAATTTAGCACATGCTGCTGCTTCTTTGCACTGCACTGGACATCAGCTGTGAACATTTTCAATAAGCATACAGCATTTCATGTATTTTTGCTTTTAGTTTTTGTTTAGTATGAGAAAACATCTCGACTTTACACCAAAAAAAAGAGCTCTAAATCCATTTTTAAAAAGTAGCTGAAGTGCATCCTTATTCAAGGTACATTCAACATCAGCCAGGTCTCAGGGTCCTTTCCTTCCTCCCACCTAGCAAATCCTTTTCCTCCCAACACACGCAGGTATCCGGCTCTTCTGCTTTTCTTCTGCTCCCTGCTGCTTCCCTGAAAGGCTGGGAGGTTGAAAGCTTCAATTCTTCCCCTCCCTTTTCACAATATAGCTTTTATCCTGCAATCAGCAACATATTTGTTGTATGTTTGGCATCAGTCACCTGGATTTGAGCAATTTATTATATTCAACCATCTAAAAAAAACAAAAGAAAATATAAAGCTAATTTCTGATGTCATTCTCAAGGCTATCATTTGAGTTCCAGTAGCAGACATCTACCATTGCAATTTTCTAAATGATTTTCAGATGGGACTGCCTTGATTCTTGGCATAAAATCTGTGTTTGTACCTAAAGAACAGCTTGGTCTGCAAGCAAACAAGCAGCTGTCCACATAATTTGCAATACAATATTATGTGTGCGTGATGCATCTGAGCTTAGAAATGTGACCCTTTAGAGCAAAATGAAAAACTGTACAGTTACAGAAGCATGTTTTTCATATTGATAGGTAAGTGAAGGGAAAGGAATGCAAGTTACAGAAACTATTTTCCAACTGGCAGAGCTTGAAAACAATCAAAGCCCATAAGCTACAGCTAGAACAAAAACCTTCCTGGTAGTACTTGCAGGTAGCAAATAGCTTTTATGCTGCTCCATTAAGATTTCCATCCCAGTGGCTAATCTCTGATCAGGTGCTGGGGAACAGGCGATCTGCAGGTTGTAGACATTGGGCGGTTCATTTCCTCCAACTCCTTCCCCTTTCCAATAATTTCCCAAGAAAAAGCTGCAATTTCTGCTGCTCCAGTGCAGCTAGATACCAATGCAGCCTGGGGATGACAGCCAGGAGGTCTGGTTTCTATTCCCATATTTTTTTATAGATCAGCTTTGTATCTTTAGAGAGGCAGTTTAGTCTCTACGCTACAGGATGAGATTTGATCTGGGAAAAGGGATATTATCTATGTCTAGGGAAATCTACGATCTGAAATGGAAATCTGGCTCATGAGGACAAAAGTTTGCAAAGCCACAGTGTCAAAAGAATCAGGAATGTTAATGGTTATCAGAAAATGAGGATATGGGAGATGTTTTTTTTTCCTTGCAATTCTTTGCTATAAACTGAAGATCAAGGATGTTTATAAACACACCTGATAGCAAGAGCTAAGGCAGAGTGAAATTACAATATGCATAATCTTACTCTGTGATATCCTGTAGTAAAACAGAGGATATGAATTCTGTACATCGCAGCAAAGTATCAGTCTTATATTTGCCGTGCTGGATCAAAAAGGGAGACCAAGTGACTGGAGAAGCCAAGAGCAAAGGTATGTTGTCAAGGCCCAGGGCAATGAGAGCTCTTTGCTTTGGCTCTCTGCTTTCCACATGGGGTGGGGTCCTGATGAAGCACAGAGTCCTGATGGGACTTCACCACCATTACCACTGTCTGGGAAGACAGGGGGACAGTGGCCCTTACATTTCATTCCTGAGGCTTTCACAGACTTTCTGTTGTGTCTTCAGCAACCAGCAGCACCAATCCCTCCATTGCAGAATGGAAATACTTATATTTCTCTCCCCTGTTCCTTTGCTCCCACCCTCTTCTCCATTTAGAGTGCAAGATCTTCGGGACAAGGACTTGTTTCTGCTGCACACAACTACAGGGTCTCTCAGGGTGCCCCATCTATCCTACTCAGGGCTTGCAAGTGCCACTGTGATAACATTCAGTTGCAATAAGCTGTGTCCCAAGGAGGTGTAAACCCTCATATTTCCATAGGACTTTACAGATGTCTGCCCTCTTTTCTGTACAGCTGACTGCACACATCTTAAGCAGCTACCGATATACTGAGTGGATCCTAGAGCCTTCTGGAGATAGGGATAAAGGGGAAAAGATAGAAACTACCATTTTAAAGAAGCAAGCCCAGAAATGAGGAAAAAAAGAACTGTTTATGATTTTGTGCTGAGTATTTGCAGCTTTAGCTTGTGAGAGGAGTGAGCAGGTATCATCAGATACTGACCAGGGCATGCTAAATACTTGCCACTTACTTATACTGCCATGAATGATCTTATACCACATTAAAAAAAAAGTTGGGAAGAGGGAGAAAGTATTTCTTTTGGAAGAGATTGGCTGTCCTCAGAAAGGAACATCACTTTATCAGGTTGCTTAGAAGCACTTCTTTCTTAAGAGGCTATTCTGTTTCCTTGTGACCTTGACATCCTTTTTTCAGAGAACGCTGATACAGATCAGGGATTTGACAAATAAGTGATGAACCCTTGGAAAGAAAACGAGTAGTGAACACGTTGACATTGCACAAGCCCCATGAGTCTGCTAAATCAAGTCTTAAAGAGCACTAAAGTCACTGGGGAAACTCATGAAAGAACATCTGAATTCCCAAGACTCTTCATGAGGGAATCAGAGTAGCAACCCTGTGCTGAGGAAGCCCCTTTGCAGGCAGACTTCTTGTTAGTTTTACTGCCTATGTATATATATGCTGTATATATAGTCATATATATATATATATAGTATTAATAGTCATCAAGTTTATATTAATATTTATTTACATGCACCCACTTGCATAAGAAGATACATAGTCATGTGCAGTTCTGAACCCTTAAGAACCATCTGTGGGTTTGTCGTCTTCTTGTGGGCATAGATCAAGAGCTGTTGCGGGGAGCAGGTGCTTGGAGGCAGAAACAAAGCCTAGTCTTGCTCTGAGCCTCTCCGGGCCATGAGAAGATGCCTCAGGGGTCCTGCAATGTGTGCTCTGGGAGACAGGGTGGGCATAGCTGAAAATGGAAGGTTTTAGTAGCATGGTGACAATATTCTGCTTTCCTGAAGAAAGCTGGGGAAATGAAAATTTGCCCCCTTACTGCTCCACAATGAGGAGGTGGTTGTGGAGGATGACAGCAGTACTAATCTTCTTTTCCAGTCCCTCCCCACCACCCTCAGCCCCTAGAGTCAAGCTGTTATTAGGCTTCTGGGTCCTGGTGAAGTTTCAGCCCATGAACACCCAGCTCACGTGTGCATTTGACAGTATTTTGCCATGAGTGACAGCTTCTGTAACTGTGCACATACATAGCTGTGTACTTAAGCAAAATATTGTAAACCGATATGAACTAGATTTAAGACATATTTTCTGATGAAATTAAATATTCATCCTTTTTTCTTCCGTAAGAACAAAATTTTCACTCAGCTTTTCCATCTTGTCAGATGTTACTATCTTGGTCATAGAAACACTGATTGTTCACAGCTGCCCAGATATCAGCACTCTCCTTCTAGTTTGTAATCCAAATGTTTTCAAGAGATATGCACGGAAGGCTCATTACTGAGACAAACTTCAGCAAACGAAGTTACATATATTGCTGAAAGAGTGGCACATGCAACACTGACATTCACTTTTTGCATTGCCTTATGTTGATAATGTCAGACTGAGCATAAAAATGTCCTTTAATTTGAGCATTATTATATTTTAGTAAAATGTAAAGGATAACCTTCTTGCCCCAAGCCAGCAGAATATCTTTGCCCACCACAAGCTAAAACTCTAGGGAGGTGATAACGTACGTGCAGCAACTAATAATTCGATGACCATTGATTGTGAACTACAGCATTTGGAAGCTGGTAGATGGAGATGACTGAGGATGAAATCTTAGCCTCAGAGAAGTCAATATAGGAATTCTGCCAGCTGTAATGATGTCAGAGTTTTGCTGTGCTTATCTGCAAAGGTTGTCCTGGAGACTGAGTTATGTATCCTGAGCACAGGAGCCTGCAGCTGACTAGCTGAGGGCTCCTTGTCTTCTCAATGCAAAGGAGAACAGGTTTGCTTCTCCCTGAAGACGGTCTGTGTCCATGAGTATGCATTGTGGGCTGCCTTTATTGTACATTGGAGGGGATTTCTGATGTTTGGTGGTTGCTGCCTGTCCCCTCTGTGAAGACGATCCTAGAGGCTCAGTGTGGTCACTGTTTTGACTGTGAAAGCCTATCTGTCTGTCTGTCTGTGCCAATGCTGTTGTAATTACGTAGGGAAATAAAAGTCAGAGCACAGAAAATCCAGGTGATTTATTGCCTTACTGGCCAAGCTAGTTTATCTGTGTTATTGAAGTCTCTCATGAACACCAAAGAAATGGTGTAATAATGGAAAGACAAATCTTTGTTGTATTGACAAAAGCCTAAACAGAGTTTGCTATGTTTGTTAATACACTGAACTTTAGTCCAAAGATTCAGTGCCAAAGTTCCAAAGCCCTAGTGATATGATAGGGGTGGACTACAGCCTAAAAAACTGATTGCCTAAAGAAGCAGTCTTTGTACATCCCTTCTGGTGGTAGTGGTCCATGCTGGCCTCCCTCCCAGGCAGCTCCGTAAGGATGCTGTGACCCCCAAGAGACTACATCTCCAGTGATGCACTGACACAGCAACCATCACATCTCCTAATCCCAGCCACCACTATGGGAGCCCTGCCATCTTCAGAGAGCTTCCTCCTGGCTTTGGGTGGGTGCAATTCCTCATTGCTGTGCTGTGTGTGATAAAGAGAGGACCCACATATCTGATGAACACAGTGGAGGGAAATCTGCCTCCCATGTCACTTCTAGATTGAATCCCAGTGGTGCTGCCACCTCCAGTTTTGTGCTACACTTGCTGAGGAAGCAGAAAATTCCATCTAAGCTCAAACTCAATTTCTGAAGATCAAAACCAACAGTTCTCAGGAGCCTAAAGGTTTTTGAAAACCCCAGTGGATAATGCCTTGGTCTTTTAGGAACGAAAACTCTTAGAAATTCTGCACTAGACAACTCATCTAGATTACACAGGCAATGGGGTTGGGCAGAATACTGAGCTTTTGTCCCGGGGGTAACTTGCTGGCCACAAGGCCCTCCTGTCACTCTGCAAAAGTCTTTGGGCCCCTGTCCTTTGCTAAGGAAGGAAGCCATAGGCAGTCCTGCAGCTCGGGCATGTGCCCGTCTTTACACACCCTCAATAACTTTCGTACTTTCTGACCAATTTGAGTTACAGCTGTCAGGTATAGATGCCCCTAGTGTACATATTTGGGAGGATAAGAGGTCTGGCAAAAGCCAACTCTTCCCATGTCCCAGCTGAGAGACAAAATACTTAATTACACACAGAGAACCAGAACCAGAGGAGGTGTGGAAACAGGCTTTAGTGACTCCACTGATCACAGAACTATTTCTTTTGGTTGTTTATTTCTCTCCTTATCTCTGTCATGCAAAATAATTCAGATTTATAATCTTATTTTGCTTATCAAAGCACACGTGTGTTTGTCATATCCTGGTGTTTCACTGGCCACCTTTACAACACTGGAAAAGTAGAGATAATTCCTTTGCTGAATTCAAAGGCAATGGCAGTTCTGATTTTGCACTTAAAAATCTGAGATGTAACAGCTCTTATTTTGCAAACCCAGCTCTCACTTATGCTCTGTCTGTCTCAGAGTGCATGGACTACATTCAAACAAACAGAACTAAGACTTCCCTGGTGCACTGCCATTAAAATGTCAGTGAATTAATTCGTGCAAACACTTTAAAACACAGCATAGCTTGACAGTAAAAGAAATGCTTCATTTTATATGGCATACTGCTGGATACAGCAAAGCTTTTAGTAGAACTGAGTGCTATTTAAACTTGCCAGACCTTATCCTTAACCACATTGAGATGTTTCATATCAGCCTGGCAGCATAAATACACCTTTTGAGAGTGTAAACTGAAAATCCATCAAGTTTAACATATCAAGATGGTGTGTAAAGGCAAAAGTTTAAATTAGAAACAATCTCAAAATGATTCCAAATATCTACTTCTCCCATGACGTTGCTTTGTCATATGGGGTGGGAACTCTCTGTCATTCTTTGTGTACTTATGTACACAATTAGCATATCAGATCAATTATTGAAATTTGAAAGTTTAATTAATAAATGTTTCCCCAGGCTTTTCCCGAGTAACGCAGCCCAAGATTGCCATGTGGTGGGTATGCATAAGCTCCAGTTGTTCAAATAATAGGATTAGGTCTATCTTATTAGCTGTGGTACCTGAACTAATTCAGTGAACACTATTCCATCTTCCCTACATGTTTCCCATCTTTCATGTTGAAGTCACTTAGACAAGAATTAGCGCAGCCTAGCTCTTCCAGACAGACTTTTCTTTCGGTTGACTGCTATGGGCAAGGAGAATATTGCATATGTTTGAAAATCTTATTCAGGTTACTTGTTGCAGAAAAAGTTGAAACAATTTGAAAACACAAAGATTCTCTCTTGATATTGCAAAAACAGGACTGAGTGAAGGAGGTCAGAGAGGGGAGCTGGTTAGCTGTAATTAGACATGGCCAGCCGCTGGAAGTGTAATGTTAAGCCCAAAGATAGGGCACAAACAAAGCAAATTGACTGAAGATGTTGCTTTTCATTAAGCATTCCACTCAAGAAAGTATTATCTCTACAGTTAAATGCATTTTAATGGAGTCTGCACTAGTGCTGGAATATTGTAAAGGGTTCAGAAAAAAACCACCAGCTCAGAAAATTGATAATGAAGCAGAAAGACTTTCACATTTGAACCATCACTTCTAATCTAGCCTGTTACATTAAGGGTGCAAGAAGCTCTTCAGCCTCCTGGCTATTTGTGACTTCTGAAACTGTGAAAATATGGTGCACTCACAAAGTAGAGCAGATGCAAGGCAGAAAGTACTCAAAGTCCCAAGATAAGAACAGCTATGCTAGGGTGCTTATTTATTTATTCTGTGGAAAAGGTGTGGGCCTTCTCCAGCAGGTTTGCAACTAATTATACCAAAGATTTGTAGTGACCTGGTTACTTATAACCAATAAATAAGCAAATAAGAGTCATGAAGGTAAGATTAAAGAATATTCCATTACTGAGTATCTGACAAAGAATGGCAACTCATCTTAGTAAAATATTAATCTTCTGCCCTCCCTCTACAATGTGGAATACATTTTTTCTAGAGTTTTGAGCCATGAGATATTCTGGTTTGCAACTCAACAAACATCACCTCCTCTTTCC